GCGAAGTGGGAAAAAGGGTCCACGGAAGGCAAGCACACACTCCAGCCTGAGATGAAAATCGGTAAGACCACTTAGTCTGCCTAGAGGGTCTTCAATATCCATTGTCTCACCCTCCACTTATATTTTTAAACATGTTTGCCTGTATGAACACCTGCAAAAGTCTATCTTTCATTCACTACGAGTTCAAAGTGCTTAATTCTAAAATGAATCCACAATACTCAAAAACTACTCAAAATGAGCAAATGAATACATAATGGACTTCCATTCATTCACTCAAACTTTATCAATATCTACTAAATGCTTGACCCTGCACATAAGCACCTGGGCCCCACAAAAGGAAAGAAACAGGCCTGCTCTTCAATAAGCTTAGAAATTACTGAGGAAACAGACAAGCGATGAGGCAGTGACAACCATGAGAGGTCTCACGCTGCATTGAGAAGGACAGGGCAGAGCTCCGGGCTGGCAGAGCTCCGGGCTGGCAGAGCTGCACACCAGCATTCCAGGGAGGAGAGGCAGTGCGCACGAGGACACACAGGTGGGCGCGGGCACCCTCTCAGCCCTGCTTCCCCCTAAAAGCTCACCCTGACCCATCTGCCTCTAGACCAAGCAGCCTGCAGTCACTGACCTGATCAACTCCTTAAAAACACAAACTCTTGCCCCTTGGGCCTTTGCACCTTAGGGTTTCTCTATCTGAATCACCCTTTCCCCATCCTGACCCTTCACCCTTTCCCCATCCTGACCCTTCACCCTTTCCCCATCCTTACCCTTGCCTAACTGCCGCCTACTCATCTTCTAAATCTTTACTTTTTAAAAGAAGCCTCAGGGCCAGTGATGTGGCGTAGCAAGTAAAACTGCCACCATCGAGTCCCGGCTGCTCTTCTACCGATCCAGCTCTCTGCTGTGGCCTGGGAAAGCAATAGAAGATGGCCCAAGTCCTTGGGCCCCTGCACCTGTGTGGGAGGACCAGAAGAAGCTCCTGGCTCCTGGCTTTGGATCGGCCCAGCTCTGGCTGTTGTGGCCATCTGGGTCTCTCTCTGTCTCTTTCTCTCTCCCTCCCTCTCTCTCTGCCTCTCCTTCTCTCCCTCTGTAACTCTTTCAATAAATAAACAATTTTTTTTAAAAAAAAAAACCTCTAAGTCTCCTGATGTTTTCTCTCATTGTATCCTGTCCTTTACCATCATGATCTACTAAAATCTGCAACTAGACATCTTTCTGATCGTTTTTTAAATACCTACCCACTAGACTCAAAGTTCCATGAAATCAGAGGGCCCGTCTGTTTTGTTCCTGTCTATTAACATTTCTAAGCGCACTCATCTGTAGCCACTCACACTGGATTCTGCTGGGGCCGACGCGGGGGCAAGCTCTCCAGGCCCTTCTCCCAGGCAGTGACAGCCACGGCAATCTCTTCCTCAGAGAGGGTGGCCAGCTCCTCCTCCTAGAAGAGCAGACAGAACCCCTCACCAGTGAGGGGGCCCCCAGGACACAGAAACTCTATCTTCACTCTCCAAGAACTGAAAAGGTTAGGGGGCACCTCCCAACCTCCCCAGGGCTCTGTCCCAAACCTCAGGCTCATTGCTGACAGCCTTGTCCTCAGGTGGGCTGGGCTGGGGCTGCTTTTGGAGGTAGGGCCGAAGAGCCAAGATCCCCTGCTGTTTCAGCACAGTTTCTGCAGCTCGCTGACATGGCTCCTGGGTGCTCAGTGTCTGGAACCAGCTGCGCAAGGCTCCCAGCTCATCTGTGGGCATGGGGGGAAGAGGGAATCAGCAGGCGTGAGGAGCTGGACTGGGCAGGCAGGGACCTCTTCCCTGCTCTGTGAGATTTCTCCAGCCACTCTCCCAGCTCCCTCAGCCATCCCCTGCTGTAGCTGCCTTGTCAGGCGGGCCAATATTCTACTGTTCATTCTACAACCCCTACACCAAGCTCCCGGAGCTGCAGGTCTCACCTGGGAGGTAGGCTGGGTCTTGGAGCAAGGGGTACAGTGCTCCCCACAAAACAATGTCAGCTAGAGATTCTGTCTCCTTTGTTAGGGAAAGAAAAGGGTGAACAGGTGAGAAGCTCAGCTTTTTTTCTCAATATTAATAATACTTTCTAACCTTTACTGAGCACTTACTACATGTCAAAGACTCTGTTAAGCATTTTATATTATCTAGCTCAATCCTCACAATAACTCAATGAGATATTACTAGTACCCCCACCCCATGTGTGGAAAAAAATTAAGAATTAGAAAGTTGAAGTGGTTTGTTAATGTTACACTGCTAGATCTGGTGTTGTAGCTTAGCGAGGTAAGCCGCCACCTGGGATGCAAGAATCTCCTATGGGCGCTGGTTTGAAACCTGGCTGCTCCACTTCAAGTTCAGCTCCCTGCTAATGTGCCTGGGAAAGCAGTGGAAGACGGCCCAAGTACTTGGGTCCCTGTATCCACATAGGAGACGTGGAAGAAGCCTGGGCTCCTGGCTTTGGCCTGGCACAGCCTGGGCCATTGCGGCCATTTGGGGAGTAAACCAACAGATGAAAGATTTCTCTTGTTCTCTCTGTCTCTTCCTCTCTATGTAATTCTGCCTTTCAAATAAATAAAAATTTAAATAAAAAATGTTATTCGGCTAGTAAGTGGCAGCGCTAAGGTTTTGTTTTTGTTTTGAAGATTTATTTTATCGGCCGGCGCCGCGGCTCACTAGGCTAATCCTCCGCCTAGCGGCGCCGGCACACAGGGTTCTAGTCCCGGTCGGGGCGCCGGATTCTGTCCCGGTTGCCCCTCTTCCAGGCCAGCCCTCTGCTGTGGCCAGGGAGTGCAGTGGAGGATGGCCCAGGTGCTTGGGCCCTGCATCCCATGGGAGACCAGGAAAAGCACCTGGCTCCTGGCTCCTGCCATCGGATCAGCGCGGTGCGCCGGCCGCAGCGCGCCGGCCGCAGCGCGCCGGCCGCGGCGGCCATTGGAGGGTGAACCAACGGCAAAGGAAGACCTTTCTCTCTGTCTCTCTCTCTCTCTCACTGTCCACTCTGCCTGTCAAAAAAAAAAAAAAAAAAAAAAAAAAGATTTATTTTATCTATTTGAAAGGCAGATCAACAGAGAGAGATCTTCCATCCATCTTCTAAATGGCTGGAACAGCCAGGGCTGGGCCAGGCCAAACCCAAGAGCCAGAACCCCATCCTGGTCTCTCACATGGGTGCAGGTTGGGCCATCTTCCACTGCCTTCCCGGGCACATTAGCAAGGAGCTGGATCAGAAGCAGAGCAGCCACTCAAACCAGACTTGGAAATGGGATGCTATACACCACAAGCGGCAGCCTGAGCCACTGCAGCACAACGCCAGCCTTGGTGCTGAGGACTGAACATGCTAAGTAACCATTAGCCACCTCCCACCTGCAGCATTCTGCAGTCCCCGCCTCAAAGTCAACTCACCCCAGTCAGGAAAGGACTGTTCTGCCGACTTAAGCTCTGGTCAACATGAGTCAGGGCTCTCCGGACTGGGCCAAGAACATCTTCCCCCTTCTTGCCTTGGACCACTAAATAGTACAGGGCAGCAGACAAAACTGGCTAAAACGCAGGGGACATGGGTCAGGACGGCCATGCCGAGCAAGGACCTGCCTGCCATCCCCCGTGCTTCAGCCCCACCTGCAGCTCTGTGGCTTCCCATTCCAGCCACTGGTTGGTGAGGTCATCTTGCTCCCAGCCAGACAACAGAAAGAAGTATCTGCCCAGGGAGACAGCAGCCAAAGACACAATTAGAGGAGCCTCGTCTGTCCAGCCCATTTCTCCCGCCTCAGTGAAATGACGGTTGCAAGTAAGGCCACAAAAAAGACAGCGAGGCCTGCTTTGGTTCATCCATCTCCCCACACCACAGGACCAATACTGACCGGCAGATTGCACTAGTGGAGAAGAGGTAGTTGCCACCATCCAGTTGCAAGGCGGGGACCTTAGGCCGGGCCAGGAACGGGACCACACACTCTGATGCAGGAGAGGAAAATGGGTGAAAAACAGGACCGGAAAAAAAAAAAAAAGAAAGAAAGAAAGAAAGAAAAGAAAAACGTGATCAATGTGAACAATCTTGCTTTGTTCAGTGAAGGGAGATGGGCAGTCTCAACGTGGAGGTTCCAGGATAGGACCACCGAAAGGGGGCGGGTCTAGAATGAGCTGGAGAGACCAGCAGGTGTTCGGCCAACACTGGCAGCTGGAAACAACAGATGGGGATTGCAGAGAGGAGCTGGTGGCGTTGGGGCAGTGCTGCAGCCCAGAACGGGAACAACTAAAAGCAACTAGAATATGGAAGAATGAACGGAAATCACGCTGGAAAAACGAAATTGGAGGATTGACAAGAGAATCGTTCAAAAGCCACCCAGACACTGGCCTAGAGAGAGAAAAGGTAAACAGAAAGAAGTGTGCGGGTGCTTTGGGTGGGAGGGAGGCATCTTTTAAGAATGGCTAAGGGTGTCTGAGAAGTGGGATGGTTCATAGACACGGGGGAAAGGTTGGGTGTCTGAGAAGTGGGATGGTTCATAGACACGGGGGAAAGGTTGGGAAGGGGAGACCGGCTTTTGGGGAGTAAGGCGGGGTTTGGAAGACAAAAATGGACAGGCTAGAAATTAAGGGTGCGCTGAGATCAAGGGAACGGAACGGGGGGGGGGGGGGGACCGGAGGTTTGGGGACGACTTCTGCAGGGTGTCAGACGTGTTCCGGTCCCGCCCCCCTCATTCACCACCACCCCCAGTACCAACACGAGTACCTTCGGGGCCTACGGTGCTGATGAGCAGCTCTGCTCGGCCCCGGGCCCTCCCGGCCGCTGCCAGCACCGGCAGGCTTCCAGGCGAGCCCGGACTCACGAACAACCTCATTTCGCCGGGCACCCCACGCTGATGCAACCGGAACCGGCCTCCCGCCTTTAAGTTGAGCGGCCGCCGCGAAGCCCGCCGGGAAATGCAGTTCTGTATTAAGCCGAGGCTCTCGCCGCGCTCCCGGAAAGTAGACTATTTCTCCCATCATGCAACACTGGCGCACAGGAAGCGACCATAGAGACGGAGAGACTGCACACGCGGTACTAGAGCGGCGCCTTCTTGGTGCCGGGCTCAGGAGCGGAGGGGACTCTGCGAGTTTATCCTCTGGTCCTCAGGGCTGTGACAGAAACCGTGGCCGTTTCTCGTTCTGTCGATGTGGAGGATGAAGTGGCCAAGTCATAATAGAAGCTACTCGTAATGGCCAACTCTCGTTTTTAAGGATCTGAATATTTTATTTTATTTGAGAGGGAGACAGAAAAGGGCGGGGGGCGGGAGCGGAGGAGAGATCGCACATCGGCCGATCCACTCTCCAAATTCCTGCAACAGCTGCGGCTGGGCCAGGGACTGCGTCCAGGTCTCCCTCGTGAGTGAGAGAGACCCAACTACTTGAGACTCCACGAGTAGTCCCCAGGGTGCGCAGTCGTAGGCAGTCGTGCGGCATCCGGAGACTTTACCACTAGGTCTGATGCCCGCCCCTAGAGTTTCAGAAGAGTTATTATGATCTTACTTCAGCAACAAACTGGAAGTTAGTGTGGGTATCCCAGCAACAAAGAAGAGTGTGGCTAGTTAAAATACTGATTTATCAGCAATCTGTAGGTCTACACAGTTACAGCTAGACAATCTCATCGAAGGGAAGAGAAAAATCTGAAGGAAGAATGTCCACTGGAGGTAAGGTTAGAAGGCTAAGTGTTTGGCAACAAGTATATGTTATGCCAGGAAACACATGTTAGAAATTGAGAAAGGACCCTTACTCATCTTTGTATCGCTTTAAGAATTAATACCTAATAGAATTATGAGCTAGGACTGTTCTAAGCACTTTACATATATTAATTCATTTAATTTGCAAAAACCTCTACGAAAGTTCTGAGTTTTTTTATTTCAGTGGAAAATAGCTTTTAATTAAATTTTTAATGAAGATTTTTTATTTATTTGAAATACAGAGTTAGAGAAAGAGGTAGAGACAGAGAGAGGTCTTCTATCCGCTTGTTCACTCCCTACATGGCCGCAACAGTCGGTGCTGGGCCGATCCAAAGCTGGGAGCCTGGAGCTTCTCCCGGGTCTCCCATACTGGTATAGGGGCCCAAGGAGTTGGGCCATCTTCTACTGCTTTTCCTAGGCCGTTAGCAGAGAGCTGGATCGGAAGAGGAGCAGCTGGGACATGAAACGCCACCTATGTGGGATGCCGGCACTGCAGGCAGAGGCTTAACCTACTAGCCACAGTATGAGCCCCAAATAAATCTTTTTTTTTTTTTTTAAATGGAGGGGCCAGAGCTGTGGCATAGTAGGTTAAGCTTCTGCCTGCGGCACCGGCATCCCATATGAGTACTGGTTCATGGCCCGGCTGCTCCACTTCTGATCCAACTCTCTGCTAATGGCCTAGGAAAAGCAGCCAAAGATGGCCCAACTCCTTGGGCCCCTGCCACCCACATGGGAGACCCGGAAGAAGCCTGGCTCCTGGTACAGCCCCAGCCGTTGTGGCCATCTGATAGTGAACCAGCAAGAGGAAGATCTCCCCACCCCCAAAACTCTTTCAGACAAATAAATAATTCCTAAGAAAAAAAATGATATGGGGTACTACCTTAGCAGCACACACAGACTTCCGGGAACTCAGAAAAGAATGCGCTTTAAAGTGTGATGAAAGTGTGGTGAAAGGGGTTCAGACCTTTCAGCTGAGATCTGAAAGAGTAGGTGAGGTGGAAATTGGAATGAATGGAGAGGAGAAATGGTTCAGGCAGAGTAGACAATGTGTGCAAAGGATCAGGGATCTCCACACACCTCAGGAGCATGAGGGATCATGTAAGGCTGTAGCGTGGAGTTTGTGGTGGGGAGTGTGAAAGGCCTAAGCTAGAAAGGGAGCGTTTATGTCAGTCATACTGTAGAACTTGGATCTTATTCTGACGACAATGAGGAGCCTTTAAAAAGTGAAAGTCAGAGGAGTGCAAGATGTATTGTGTTTAGAAAGATCACCTGGCTGTCGTGCCAGGCATGGACTGGAGAGAAGCTAAACTATAAGAAAACAAGTTAGGAGGTTACCATCCAGGCTAAAGAGGTAGAGCTACTGGGATTTAAAAAAGTAGGGGCCCAGCTCTGTGGCGTAGTGGGTAAAGTTGCTGCCTGCATTAACTCATCCTATATGGGTGCTGGTTCCAGTTCTGGCTACTCCACTTCTGATCCAGCTCTCTGCTATGACCTGGGAAAGCAGTGGAAGATGGCCCAAGTTCTTGGGCCTCTGCACCCGCATGAGAGTCCCAGATAAAGCTCCTGGCTCCTGGCTTTGGATCAGCTCAGCTCCGGCCATTGCAGCCATTTGGGGAATGAACCAGTGGATAAAAGACCTCTCTCTCTCTCTCTCTCTCTCTCTCTCTCTCTGTAATTCTGCCTTTCAAATAAAATAAATATTTTTAAAAGCCATAAATATTATTTATATATATAAATTCTTGCATATGAAGAAATTAACTCACTCACCCATATTCCTGTCTAACTCACTCAGGGAAAAGAGAATCCACTCCTCATTAAGACCCCTCTGACTGCATGCTTCAATCACAATCTCTCCCTTATCTTTGGAAGCAGAGTGGCTGCCTCTATGTATCTGAAAGCCACCTATGGATTTTCCCTTCTGAGATTCCTTTTCTCTACCTCAGGAGCAGCAACTCTCAACTATTTATACTCCTTTTCCCTGCACTAATTAGGGGGATGAAGGTGGAAGAGTGGTCCTTGCACCGGATTTTGCCTCACTCCATGAGATAACTGCTAAGGTTTTCAGCACTGTCTGCTCAGTGTTGAACACTTACTGCATGGATGAGTGTTTGGCTGAGCTTTCGTCTCAGCAGTGCAGACCCTGTTGGGACACCTACATGCTTATCACAGTGTCTAGTTCAGGTCCCAGCTCCACTTCTGATTTAGCTTCTTGCTAATGTACATTCTGGGAGGCAGAAGGTGATGACTCAAGTATTTGGGTCCCTGCCACACCTGTGGGAGGCCAAGATTGAGTTCTGGGCTCCTCGCTTTGGCATGGCCCAGCTCCAGCTATTGTAATTTGGGCAGCGTACCATTTCTGTCTCTCTCTTTGTCTCCCTGCCTTTCCAATGAATAATTAAGAAGAAAAAGTAAGGGCAGGCTTTTGGTGCAGCTGCAAATCACCACTTGGGACACCCACATCCCCTATCAGGGTGCCTGGGTTGTGCCCTGGCTCTGCTCTCCCTTGAAGTTTCTTGGATCCCTACCATCCACATAAAACTCCTGGATCAAGTTCCTGCCTCCTGGCTTCAACCTGGCCCAGTCCTCGCTATTGTGGACATTTAGGAGATCTGTCTCTCTCAGCCTCTTTGCCTTTCAAATAACAAAGGTTAATGGAAAGGAGGCAATAAAGAAAAGCTACAGTGTAGAAGCAATAGCTTTGGAGAAGGCAGAAGAGGATGGGACCGAAGCTCTTAACAAAAACACCAGCCGAGTGAAGAATGGAAGTGGGAAGGAGGGTTGAGAGGAAAGGTTGACATATGTTGGCAGTAGAACAAACGAAGAAAGATCTGAGGCAGAAACCTGGCACTGGCCACCTAGCCCTCAGGTCACGTGTCATGGAGGAGACCTGGCCCTGTGATATCACCAGGGGAGGAATCCTCCCTACCAAACCCGAACACTGTGCAGTGGAGAACCTCAGAGAAGGGGAACAGAAACATGCTCAGAAAGGGTGGATTTTAAAATGCTGCCTCCCCTCTCTCCTTTTCTCAAATACGTGAATATTTTTTAGATTACTGGATTTAAGCCCTGGGCCCACTCCCCATTCCAGCCTCCTGCTAATGTACACCCTGGGAGGCAGCAGGTTACTCCTCAAGTGGATGGATGGGTCCCTTTCACTCACTGGGACACCTGGATTGAATTCCCAGCTCCCAGCTTCAGCCTGACCCACACCTGGCCCTTGCAGATTTTGGGGGGAGTGAACCAGCAAATGGGGGCACTCCCCTTCTCTTTCTCTCTTAGATAAATATAAATAAATAACTATTAAAGAGCTGGCAATCCAGGGGTGATCAGTTCCCACCTTCCACCAGGGAGAAGCTGACATCAGTCCCTCATCTACCTGTCATAGCATCTTGTTCAACTACAGTATTCATTCAGTTAGAATCCCTAAGTCTAGTATCCTTAGTTAAGGTGAGGTGCATCTCCCTTCCACTCCAAGAGGGTTCATTCCCCTCGCTGAGCTGCAGGGCCTAACAGGGCGCCTTGCATCCAGGGAGCACTCAGCCAGTCCTTGATAAGAGCGTGGATGAATGAACTCATACACTGCAGGGGCTGTATCCACACAGGAGTACAGAATGAGGGCAAGGTTTCTCAGCTCCCCAAAACACGCCCTGGGCTGGGAAGACAGAGCTGCGTCAACACCTCTGTTTCTCCCAGCCACTTTCTCTTTCTCTCTGACTTGGTCTTACTGTGTCTTTGGCTCTGCCTCTCAGAGAGTGCACAGGAAGCACGCAGCTTTAGGTCTGAGGTGTTCGGTAACGGAAACAGTGATGCCTGTGCAAACTGAATGCGAGGCTCGCAAACCTCCTCTTCGTCATCGCGTCCTGCCTCTCTTGCTGTGGCTCCCTCTCAGCCCTGACTCTGTCTCCTCCTCTCCTTCCTGTGGCCACTGCAAGACTCACACTGCACCCAGGACCCGTGCTCCTGCCCCTGGATCTTCTGAGGGGCTCCACAAGGTACTTGGAGGAACATTACCAAGCTAGGCCTTATCCTCTGATTTCCTGCCGTGCTGGCCACACGGCCCTGCTGACCACATCCTCCCACACCTCACTTATATACTTCCTCACAGACAGGAGTCCTCAGCCCCCAAAACCTACCCTGACCCCTCTCCCACACCCCCCGCTTCACCCTCACCTCTTACCCCAGGCTGCCGTCCTCACCCTCCTGACACTGCTCACTGCCCCATGTCCCTCTACCTGAAGGCAGTCAGCCCTGCACCCTTCTGGATCTCCAACACCCCCTTTTTCTCACAGGTGGCAGTGCTGGCCACAATGCTGTCTGGCCGGTGGTGGCCAAGTACCTGGGGCAGCCTAGGGCTGGGGCCCCGAAGCTCTTCCCAGAGGTCCCAGCTCTGTGCCCTCTATGCCTTTACTTACACTGGGGCAGATGGCCGGCAGGTGTCTCTGGCTGAAGGGGACAGGTTCCTACTACTTCGAAAGACCAACTCGGACTGGTGGCTGGCCAGGCGCCTGGGAGCACCCGCCACTTCCAGACCCGTCTTTGTGCCAGCTGCCTATGTGACAGAGGAACCCATGCCTTCCAGGAGCCCAACTACCACTACCCCCAGCCAATCCCTCTGGACTCCTGGTGGTGAGTAAGCCCTAGGCTGTCCCCTGTCACCTTCCCCCAACCCTGGCTGCTGGGAGTCACTGGCAGGCTCCCTCTCTCCCAAGCTCCCGCTGATCCCTCCTCTTATTTCCCCTCATCCCCATCATGCTGTCCTCACCCCATTGCCTCTCCTGGTCCCAAGTCTGCCAGATCTCATGTCACTTTCCACAGCCTCCCTCTGCTTTCCTTGATTTCCAGGATGGGGGACCCAGCCAAGATGGTGCGTCTGATCACCTGCCCCTTCCCCCCACTACCCGGGTCCCTCTATTTCCAGGGCCGAAGTTGTTTGGTGGCTCCCTGGAGGAATTGCAGCTGTCCCAGGCATCCCCAAGCACAGCCCAGGCATCTGAGCAGCCTCCTCCCCTTCCCCCCAAAATGTATAGAAGTGTCAGTGTTGCCAATTTGAGGTCCAGGCCCGGGAAGCCCTTCCAGGAAGGATCCAGAGGAAGATCTTTCTCCCAGGAAGACTTGCTGACCACGGCCAAGGCCAGCACGGTGAGTCACCACTCTTCTTAAGGAGCACGGCAAGGCCGGCACTGCTAGCCCCGGTTCTGTGCCCAGCGGCCAACAGGACAGATGGCAGCCCTGCCCTCAAGGGACACACACTAGTGAGATGGCCCTGGTACAGTTAAGTGCCACAAAAGAGGCTGAGATGATTAGGGAAGGTGCCTGAGGTGACCGGCTTTCAGCAGGATTGAGAGTGGGAGGAGAAGCAGCCGCCGAATCAGGAGCGAAGAAGGGGCTGCAAGTAGCCAAGGCCCTGAGGGGACAGGAAGCCTGGCCCAATAGCACTGAAAGAAGCCCCTTCTTCCCTACTCCCGGGCCAGGGCCAGGGCAGGATCTGTCCGCACCAGCAAGTCCCCTTTGGAAAGGGAGCCGCCTGCCTCGGCCCCTCCCCTCCCACTTTCTCAGCAGTGGGAGGGAAACGGCCCCTCCTCCCTCTCACTCCCGCAGCTGGGATCTCTGATCCCTCTCCCCCTCTCTCCCTCTTTCACCCTGCAGGATGTGAGGGTGGGGCGCTCCCCTCACCCCCCCACAAAGAGTCTGTTCCCCTTTCCTGCGGCCCTGGGGTGGGGGTGGGGTGGGGGCGGAGGGAAGTTGGCAACAGGAAGTGAGGAGAAAAGCAAAGAAGACCGTGAGGGAGAGAATTTTTAAAAAGCAGCCGGGGACTGGGGCTTCTCCACCAGTCCTGGGTCACCCCAGCCGGGAGCTGGTGGTGAGAAAATGGTGGTGGGGGGAGAGGAGGGCGTAAGGAGGGGGAACCGTAGGAAGGGCGAGGCGGAATAACCACCCCCTTCTTCACGCTCTCCTGGCAGGCAGGACCCCAGCCCCTCATGTCAGAGCCCCCTGTGTACTGTAACCTGGTGGCGCTCCGCCGCTGTCCCCGGTCCCCGCCGCCAGGCCCCGCTTGTGCCCCGCTGCAGAGACTGGATGTCTGGGAGCAGCACCTGGACCCCGACTCCGGACGCTGCTTCTACGTAAACTCGCAGACCGGCTGCAAGTCCTGGAAGCCCCCTCGCCGCCGGCGCCCGCCAGAGACGGTGAGACCCTGCCTTCCTGCTCGCCCCAAGTCCCTTCAGGGCCCACAAAGTAGTGTGCACCCTCTCACAGGCAGATTGTGGGGAGGGAGCCAGCAGCCGGTTGACAGGGCGCCCGGATGTGTAGAAGCTATATCTCCCCCTCCCCTGACCCAGAATCCTGGCTCCATGGAGGGGACGGAGCCCCTGAATAGAGAAAACGGGGTCCTGCAACCTGAGGCAAAGGGCACGGGATCTGACACGGGGACCCCAGAACTGCTTGATCCACAGGTGAGATGCCTCCTGCCTCCCAATGAGCTGGCAAAAAGCCAGCCTTTTAATGACTTTCCTGGGCAAGACCTCCTCTGTAACCCCCCACACCCCCTACCTCTCACCCATATCCGGAGCCCTCTTCCCCTCCAGCCAGGGCCCGGGCTGGAAAGTTCCTCCACCTGCTCTCCAATCCCCTTTCTCACCCCGCCCCTGCCAGCGCACCTCCCGGCTCCAGCAGCCTCCGGCCTCACAGACCCCTCGACCTATGCCGCAGCTCCTGGAGGACCCCCACGTGAGTTTCCCGCTTCCCTGTCAATGTCAACGTCTTACCTCCCTGCCCTACTCCCCAAATTTTACCCCTCAAAAATATCTCCTTCTTTCCGAGTACCCTCATCTTACCCAGCCCTCCCGGCCCTACCTTTAAGGGAACTCAATCCTGGGAGAAAAAAGACCCTGCAGGGAGAGGCGTGGCCGCCGTGGGGGGCACAGGGTGACTGACGGACACCGCTCTTTCCCGTCCCGTTCCCAGGAGGTGGAAAAATCAGGCCTACTCAACATGACCAAGATTGCCCAGGGCGGGCGCAAGCTCAGGTGAGGGGTGGCGGGAAGAGAGCAGGGGCCTGGGCTGGATGCACCGGGGTGCAGCGGGGTGAAGGGACAGCGCGCTGCCGGGCTGCTTGTATTCTGACCTTCGCACTGCCGCCACTGCCCCCGACCCGCAGGAAGAACTGGGGACAGTCTTGGGTGGTGTTAGCGGGCAACAGCCTAGTGTTCTACCGAGAGCCACCGCCGACTGCGCCCTCCGCGGGCTGGGTGAGTGTGCGGGAGGGGACGCAGCTGCTTTCCGCTCCGCGGGGTGGAGGCGCCCGCGCGGTGCGGAGAAGTTGAAGGAGTGAGGACGCCTCCCACCTCACAGCCATCAGGTGAGAGCGAAGCATTAAGGGAAACAGCGCCCGAGCTTCAGTTTCCCCCCATCCTGATTGCCAGGGGCCAGCGGGCAGCCGGCCCGAAAGCAGTGTCGACCTGCGCGGGGCGGCCCTGGCGCACGGCCGCCACCTGTCCAGCCGCCGCAACGTCCTGCACGTGAGTGCCCTCCCGCGCGTCCCTGCAGCCGCGCCTGTCTCCCCGCGTCTTGCTCCTCGCCGCCGACCCTAGCCTTTTCCCCACCCGCCCCTCAGATCCGCACTGTCCCTGGCCACGAGTTCTTGCTGCAGTCGGACCACGAGAGCGAGCTGCGCGCCTGGCACCGCGCTCTGCGTGCCGTCATCGAGCGGCTGGTGAGATGCGTGGGGGACGCGAGCGGGAGGGGCCAGGATGGATCCCAAGGAGTCGGGGAGGAACAACAGGAGTCAGGACGGAAGGGGGCAGGGCGTAGAGCGCTGGCTAGGGTGCTGTGGGCCTCGGGACCCCGGCAGCCTGTTAAGGGTCTCCTTCCCTCAAGCGAGGGGGTGCAGATTTCTCCTCTCTCTTCCTACTTCCTATATGATCCACTCTGCCCGCGCGTCTGCCCGGGTCTAGGATCGGGAGAATCCCCTGGAGCTGCGTCTGTCCGGCTCGGGCCCGGCGGAGCTGGGGGAGCTGAGCGCCGGGGAGGACGACGAAGAGGAGTCGGAGCCGGTGTCCAAGCCGCTGCTGCGCCTCAGCGGTCGCCGGAGCTCCAGTAGGAGGCGGGCCGGGCAGGGCGGGGCCTGGAGCGGGCGGCCAGGCTGCTGTGGGCACTTACTCCGCCTGCCTCTCCGCCGCAGGTCGGTGTCCTGAAGGCGCTGAGCAGAACCGAGTGCGCAACAAGCTAAAGCGGCTCATCGCCAAGAGACCGCCTTTGCAAAGCCTGCAGGAGCGGGGACTGCTTCGAGGTGAGCTGGGCTGTGCCTGCTGGACTAACTGCTCCTTCCTGCCTGCCTGATTTTGCAGGCATCAGCCCATTGCCTGGATGGGAGCGTGGCAGCGCGGCTCAGAACTGCTGCCCTTCCCAGAGCTGGCTCAGAGTTTCCTGAGAATATCACTTTTCCGGCCTGCGCCCCGGCTCACTAGGCTGGCTAATCCTCCACCTAGCGGCGCCGGCACACCGGGTTCTAGTCTAGGGGCGCCAGAATCTTTCCAGGTTGCCCCTCTTCCAGGCCAGCTCTCTGCTGTGGCCCAGGAAGGCAGTGGAGGATGGCCCAGGTGCTTAGGCCCTGCACCCCATGGGAGACCAGGAGAAGCACCTGGCTCCGGCCTTCGGATCAGCGCGGTGCGCTGGCCGCAGCGCACCAGCTGTGGCGGCCATTGGAGGGTGAACCAACCGCAAAAAGGAAGACCTTTCTCTCTGTCTCTCTCTCTCACTATCCACTAAAAAAAAAAAAAAAAATCACTCCAGAGGATTTAGGGGACGGGGAGTTGAACCTCGTTGCCCGGGCCTGGCACAGCAGCAGGAAGGCCAGTCCCACCTGGAAGAGGGGCTGAGAAGGGCTTCCTGGAGTGACTGCGGGCCCTAGCTTCCCACCTCCTACTGTTCCTCCCCAGACCAGGTGTTCGGCTGCCAGCTGGAGTCACTGTGCCAGCGGGAAGGGGACACTGTACCCAGCTTTGTGCGGCTCTGCATTGCTGCTGTGGATAAAAGAGGTCATTTACCCAGATGCCCCAGTATCTCCCCTTCCGCAGGCAAAGACCTGAAGCTCCCCACCTCCTCCTGCCTGGTCTTCCTCCTGCCCTCCCCTCTCCCCGCTCAGATCCTCAGGGGCCCTGCCCCACCCGCACCTGAGCACAGGAGCCCCTGTCTGCTCCCTGCCTCCTCTCCTAGGTCTGGATGTGGATGGCATCTACCGGGTGAGCGGGAACTTGGCAGTAGTCCAGAAACTCCGCTTCCTGGTGGACAGAGGTGAGAAGGCTTGGGGCAGGTGGTGGTGCTAAGAATGGCCCGTCTCAGAGCCACGTGCAGCTCCAGCTGAGGGGGCTGGCGGGACTGGGAGGCTTTCGGGCTGGAACTCCATGTCTGAGCTCCTGATCTCTCCTCACCCATGTTGCAGAGCGGGCCATCACCTCCGACGGGAGGTACGTGTTCCCAGAACAGCCAGGACAAGGTACTTACTTGGAACCCCATCCCCCCCCTCCCGCCTCCTGTATTTTCCCTGCTCCCTGGATTCCCCCACGTGCTGCTCCTGGGGTTAGGGTGCTCATCCCCACCTTTGCTGGCTTTCCCAGTCCCTCTGGGCCTTTGTGGGCTAACCTCCCTCTCCTCCCAGAAGGGCGATTGGATTTGGACAGTGCTGAGTGGGAAGACATCCATGTGGTCACCGGAGCTCTCAAGCTCTTCCTCCGGGAGCTGCCCCAGCCTTTGGTGCCCCCCACGCTGCTGCCCCATTTCCGTGCTGCCCTTGGTAAGAGTTGGGAGCTTGGGGCGTCACACCCTCAATGGGGCGAGCATGGAAGTTCCCATTCTGACACAGAGAATAGCTCTGGACTCAGGTGCCAACTCCAGTTGTCGTTTGTGTGTGCATGTTTAGAGGACAGAATTGACTCCTGAGGCTACAGAAGGGTTACGTGAAAAAGCTGTGGTAGAGGAATGATGCCTTCCTTTCCCAGGTGTGAGGGAGAGTGGTGAATTGACCCACCCTGTTCTAGCACTTTCCCTAACCTCACTCCCATGCTGTCTTTGCTCTCTCTCTGTGAGTTTAGCACTCTCCGAATCAGAGCAGCGCCTCTCTCAAATACAAGAATTAATAGGCTCAATGCCGAAGCCCAACCATGATACTCTGCGGTACCTCCTGGAGCATTTATGCAGGTCAGAGAGACTGAACAACTTCGTTTATGCTGGGCAGGGTGGAGGGCGGCATGCGGCAGGAAGTCTGTTCAGGTGGGGTGAAGGTAGGGAAGTGTAAGGCACAGGTGGAGGAGACAGTAGGCACTTAAAAAAAATCATGGGAATCAGGCGAAGGCATGTGGCGCAGTTAAGGTGCTGCTTGGGACACCCACGTCCACCTCATCAGAGAGCCTGGGTTTCAGTCCCAGCTTCACTTCCCATTCCAGCTTCCCACTAGTGCATACTCTGAATAGCAGCAGATGATGGCGCAAGTCTTTGGATCCCTGCTGCCCACATGGAAGACAAGGATGGTGTTTCAGACTCCAGGCTTTGGCCTGGACCAGCCCCAACTTTTATAGACATTTGGAGAGTGAACAAGCAGAGGGAAGAGCGCTCTCTGCATGTCCTTCCATCTATCTCTCTGCCTTTCAAATAAATGAAAAAAAATTTCATGGAAAAAAAATTAAACGATATTTATGTGTTACAAAAATTTTTTTGATGCACAGGTTTTGTTTTGTTTTAATATTTATTTATTTGAAAGACAGAGTTACTGAGAGAGAAAAAAGAGGTGGAGAGAGAAAGACAGACAGACAGAGATCTTCTATCCACTGGTTCACTCTGCAAATGGCCACAATGACCAGGGCTGGGCCAGGCCAAAGCCAGGAGCCGGGAGCCGGAGCTTCATCCGGGTCTCCCATGTCGGTGTAAGTGCTCAAGCACTTGGGCCATCTTCTACTACTTTTCTCAGAATATTAGCAGAGAGTTGGATTGGAGTGGAGAAGCCAGGACATGAACTGGTGCCCATATGGGACGCCAACACTGCAGGTAGCAGCTTAACTTGCTGCACCACAGCACCAGGCCCCCGCTCAATGCACAGATATTTGTTAATAACAGATTTTCCATCAGTTTTTTGAAGGCCCCTCCTATTACCAGGGTTGAAGCCTTTGAAAGTTAACATCAAATGGGGGAAGGAGATGACAAGCCCAGGGATGCTGTGAGAGAAGCAAGGGAAATCTCACCTCTTCCTTCCCTCTGCCTGGTCTCCCGCTGGGGTGGGAGTGATGGCATGTCTGCAGAAAGGGGATGGTCATTTGAATCACAGCGTGTGAGATTGCAGGCAAGGGGGACTGTAGGGACTGTCCCTGAAGCTGGGAAGCAGCAGCTGGACCCCAGGCTGGACCTTCAGGTTGTATCCTGAACGTGTCTCCCCTGGTCCATCCCCATGGCCTCTGGCGGGGGCTCCCTCTGTGGATCCTTCAGCCACCACGTGGAGGGGTCCCAGAGTGAAGTCTCGCCTGGCCAACCCTCCGAAGGCTTGGATTGCCTTGAGTGGCAAGCTGCTGCCTCACGTCCCCTTCCCTTGGCCTGTGTCCGCAGGGTGATAGCACACTCGGATAAGAACCGCATGACCCCCCACAACCTGGGAATTGTGTTTGGACCCACCCTGTTTCGGCCGGAGCAGGAGACATCGGATCCAGCAGCCCACGCCCTCTATCCGGGGCAGGTAGTGCAGCTGATGCTCACCGACTTCGCCAGCCTCTTCCCTTGACCAGGCAAGGAAGGGAGCAGCTGTCCTTCGGTCACCCTTTGGTGGTGGCGGCAGGGTGTTCTGAGATCATTGCTTCGAATCCTGTTTCCTGAATGACTATTTGAGAGGAGAAGCTGGGAAGGGGTGAGGGAGCTGCACGGCAGGGCCTGGGAGAGCCAGCCACACCTCTTGTTCCCTGTGCCACCTTCCCCGAGATAACACATAAAGCAGCACAGAGCGGCACTCTCTGGTGCAGTTCCTTTATTAACAGGAAGCAGTGTCATGTTCAAATTCCTCTCCAAAACATATGCAGACTATGTACAGTCTCCAGCCCGGCCCTCCCATTCCTGTGCCATCGGATGCAGGGGCCATGGCTCCTCTCCCTGACATCTCTGGAGGGATGGAAACCCTGTAGGAAACGGGGGTCTGTGATGGCCGTGTACCCCCACTCTAGGCACTAGAGTTGAGGAATTGCGTCTCTCCGGGCAGGGATCCCAGCAAGACGCTCATGTTGCCCACAGCCATGTTGGGTGTCCCAGAGGGCGGTGTCTCAGAGCTGCCCTCCTGGTCTTGGGAAGGGGGAGGACTCAGGCCCTGGGCCTCATCCAGAATAGCCACAAAGTCCAGCTGAGTGTTGTCAAGGTCAAGAGAGTCCAGAGGGTTACACACCTGCCCTTCAGGGGGAGGGTACAAGGCAGGACCTCCTCCCAGCCTGCCCACCTCAGGATGGCCACAGCTGGGGTTGGTGCCCCCCGCCTTGAGGGGCCCATAGCAAGTGGGCAGCGGCGGCAGAAGTCGGGGTGGTGCTGCTGCCCTGTGGGAAGCCCTGTTTGTCCCCACAGCAAAATTTTCAGGGCACGGTGGAGGGGTGGGATAAGATCCCGCCTTGTGATTGGGCAAACTGGGTGCAAAGCCAGGTCCGTATGCAGCCACTGGGGCCTTGGCGGGGCTTGGGCTGACTTGGGAACCCCCCAGAAACTTAGGGCCCTGGTAGGGAGGTTCCTGGACTGGTACTCCCGCCCTGGCCCCACCCTCCCACAGCAGTTCCTGTTGAGACTGGATGTAATCACACATAAGCTGAGCCTTCAGCTGTCCTGTGGAATGAGTCGGGGAATCAAAATCCAGGCCAGGTCTGGGCTCAGAAGGAAGATAGTCAGAGGGGAGCTGGGAATAGGGGCCTGGCTGGGGATACTGAGGAGGAGGGGGCTGGGGGTAGTGGGAGAACAGGGGCTGTGGGCGTGGGGGCCCCTCATTGGGGTGGGCATTGAGGCAGGGTGCCAATCCTGTGGAGTCAGACCCCGCTGGACACCCCTGTTCTGGCTTGACCTGTACTTGTCCATAATGTTCAAGTCGAGGACACTGGCTGTAGGCTCCACCTGGAGCCTTGGGGCCTGGGTAGAGCCCCGGGTGGGAAGGAAATTCACCCCATGTTTCTGGGGCGGGATCAGGATAGACCTGCTGGGGGCAGGGGTTGGGACCGTAGTTGGGGGGTGGACCGGGTCCAAGAGGCAGGGAGCCTGGGCCTCTAGCTCCATAAGGCTCAGCTGCTGCCCCTTCGGGTCCCCCATATGCCAGGGAGTCCGTGGGCGGGAAGTCCATGTAAGGGTTCAGACCACTGCCCATCACGGGGGCCCCAACCTCTGGCTCCTCCCGCAGGCCTCTAGTTTCCATGGCGACATTCTCAGTGATGCTGGGGGGCTGTGGAGAATAGATGGAGGCTGGGAGGTGGGGATCAAAGTTCCTTCCTCCCCCCGCCACAGCAGGCGGGGTATGCACACAGCCCAGGCTCTTGAACCGTTGGACCCTTGCTGGGGCAGGGCGGTCAGCAGCCCGGGCTGGGTCACTGGCCCTTCGGGTGACCCCTGCATTGGGGTTGTATCCTGGGTACTCGACTCGGCTTCTCCAAGGAGGCGCAGGCAGAGTCCCCATGCGATCCAGGCTGGGTGCTGCGGTGGGTGGGGTGCTGCCCCCCTTGCCAGAGGCGTATCTCGCCCGGAGCAGGTAATGCTGGGCAGGCGTGAGGCCTGGCAGGGAGGATGCCCCATTCTCCGGGGGGGAGCCAGGGGGGAAGGGGGAGGCCAGGGAAGAGCGCCGGCTGACAGTGTAGGCAGAGCTGATGCTGCTGGAGCTGCTGCTGCGGCGGTCAAGAGAGACCGGGGGACCCAGGCAGCGGGAAACCGGGGTGCCTGCAAGTGACAGAGAAAGCAGGGTGGTCACGGAACCCCCTAAAGTTCACCCCAGGGACAGGCTCCTGGATCCTGACTGCTCATCTCTGTCTCTTTCTCCCCAGAGCCTCTCCTGCTTTGGGGCAGCAGAGAGTGAGGGCCGCTGTGAACAACTGTACAGGTTGTGCACTGCACAATCTCAGGGAACAGTATGCATGTCACAGACTTTTTAGATAGTACAATGACTTTCTGATAGATAGAAGGAAAGGGTCTCGAGGAAGGGGGACCTCATTTTAATGGTGCAGAGGTGTTCTATGGCAGCCCTGACCGGGGGAGACCTGCTCCTCCCAGCCTCAGGGCAGACCTACACAACAGCCCAGCACCACCTCCCACACCAAGATCTTACCAGTGTGGGCCAAGCTGGGTAGCTTGAGACCCCGGGGCCCTGCTGGACGGAGCTGATGCAGCTGATCCAGCCTGAGGTTCTCAAGGCGGCGAAGCGTGGACAGACCCGTGCCAGCAGGACAAGGCCCCTCGTCCAAGCTGGACAGGTCCTCAGTGCTGCCTCCCGCGTTGCCGGTCATTTCCACGCCACTGTCTGTATTGGCTGCACTGCCTGCTGGGGAGTGGTCACTGCTGCAGGAAGACTGGGCCCCAGGGCTGGGCTGTGGCTTCTGCGGGCAAGACGAGGGCTGAGGGCGGGCCCCTCCCGGTTCCCCACAGCACCCTCAACCTGGCGAGTGACTGCTGGGGGCTAGGGGAGGCGTACAGTCGCAGACAGGGCTGGGCAAGTGCAAAATGCAGAGCTGCGGCCGCGCGGGCTCACGGGTTCACTCTTAGTTCTGTGACCTCGGGCATTTTCTCTACACCTGTTTCCTCATCTGAACACAGAGAGAGCAAATTCCTGTCTCAGGAAGTTGTGAGAAGGACATAAGACTGTACAGGTCCAAGGCTGGGGATAGCATAGGCAGTGTTATTCAAGGAAGAGTTTGGTGAGTGAATGAGATCGTTAAGGACACCCAAGTCCCTGGATTTGGAGTTCTAGAAGGAACAACACTGGGATGAGAGACAAGAAGCCTGGCTACCCAAGAGCGATGTCCAGAGAGCGGCCGGTTGGGTCGGAAAGGACCCAGCAGCACGTCAGCAGGGCAGGCAGCGGAGGTAGGGCAGGGACACCTGGGCTCTCACCATGCCGCCCTCTGGCACTGTCAGTCGACTGTCCTCCCTGATGGGGCCTCCGTCCCGCTCCCTCTTGGGCTCCACCGTGGAAAGGGATGGTGCCCGGGGTAAGGGGCCATCCCCTCGGTGCCGCTTGGTCACATGCGCATCAGGACCGTGCACTGTCTTGACATGTTTCCGGAGCGAGCTGGGATCTGTATAGCGCTTGGTGCAGCCAGGGAGCTTACACACGTACGGCTTCTGTCAGGTGGAGAGTGAAGGCAGAGGCGAAAGGATCAAAGCAGAAGAATGGGGTAAGAGGGTTGGGGGGCCCTTGGGTGGGGCTGAACGATGAGGGGATCGGGGAAGAGGGTTAGAAAGAGGTGAGCCCGGGGCTGGAAGCCTCATACACCCACGGGTTGAAAGGGTTGGGGGCCTCCTCCGGACCGGGTCTATCTTAGGTTAGCCTTTGGCTGGTTGGAGGTAGGAGGAGGGTGCAGGTGGAAATTGTGTCTTCAGAAGGCCCTCTCTGGGTGGATTTTATGGGGAAGGGGGACTCACCTCTGTGGAGCAGGTGCTGTGCTAAGGGGTTCTAGGGGAGGCTCCCTGGAGGTGGCTTCTCAAGTAGGGGATCCCTGAGCTGGGACATTCACCTCATTGGAGTGGGTCCGGTTCTGATGCTTGGCACGGTCACTGGCATTGCTGAAGGCTTTGCTGCAGCCCTCGTGCTCACACATGTATGGCTTCTCACCCGTGTGTGACCGCAGGTGTGTCTTCAGGTTTTCGAGGCGTGAGTATGACTTCCGGCACCCTTCAAACTAGGGACCACAGGGGCATCAAAGGATAGCTCACAGACAAGAGGAGGTGGAGAGGAAAGGGACCCTAAATCTCAAGGGGTATATGCATCAGAGAAGAGAATCCAAGGTGGGAGAGCATTGGGCCTTCCAGAGAATTTCCAAAATTAGAGGGCGAGGGCAGGCAGGTAAGAGCTGGGGGAACAGAAGCCGCTGGAGGCACCGTGACTTCAAGCCCTGGAGACAGCAAAGCCAGAGCAGCTCCCCCTGCAGGCATGATTTTTTTGAAAATGATTGATTGACTCAGGGGCTAGGGTTGTGGCGTAGAGGGTAAAGCTGCAGCCTGCAATGTCAGTATTCCATATGGGCACCAGTTCAAGTCCTGGCTGCTCCACTTCCCATCCAGCTCCTTGCTAATGGCCTGGAAAAGCAGCATAGGATGGCCCAGGTGCTTGAGCTCCTGCCACCCAAGTGGGAGACCTGGAAGAAGCTCCCAGGTCCTGGCTTTGTCCTAACTCAACCCTAGCTGTTGCAGCCATTTAGGGAGTGAACCAGCAGATGGAAGATCTCTCTCTCTCTCTCTCTCTCCTTCTCCCTCTGCTTTTCAAATAAATATATCTTTAAAAAAATAAAATAATTGTTTCACTCCCCAAATGCTTGCAACAGCTAGGGTAGGACCAGGCCAAAGCCAGGAGAGAGGAACTCCATCTGGGTCTCCCATGCAGGTAGTAGGAACCCAGATAGTTGGACCATCTCTTACTGCCTTCCCAGGAGCATTAACAAGAAGCTGGATCAGAAGCAGAATATCTGAGACTTGAACCAGCCCTCTGGAATGAGATGCATTGACTTAACCTGCTGTACACCTGCACCCCAGGTGATTTTCATATTTGTTTATAGAGGAAAGGACCTATGATGGCAAAAGTCTGCCTCAGGCCATACCTTGATTGGGAGCCCTGGTTTAGGAAGGGACCGGGGGCTTGGGAAGTGAGTGCTCACCGTGCACTTGTGTGGCTTCTCGCCCGTGTGTCTGCGCATGTGCACCACCAGCATGTACTGGGCCTTGAAGGGCCTCAGCTCCCTGGAGCAGCCCCCCCAGTGGCACACGAATTCCTTCCGCTCCCCGTGG